ATGATCAGGGGTTTATTGCCCTTTTCCATTAATTTCAGCTGACTTTGAATAAACTTCAGTGAGCTCAGTCTGCTTGAATCCACCTTTGACAGCTCCTTCCCAGCTGCGTTCATTACCCAGCCCTTCCACGTGCTTTGTCATTTTATTAGCACCCTTGTTTCCTTACCATTTTGGTTATGTGGATGGAAACCAGTATCTGAGTAAGAATTAGTCACTGCTAGCTGGTTTGATCATCAACTAGTTCTTTAAAATAACCCCCTAGTATGAATGTATTATGTTTGTATATCAATAAACTTAACATCACAAATTGTACATTAAGTAAATAGCAAATAATACTAAAGCACAGGCTGTATTGCAATGAAAAGCATCTTACTGAAATATTTTATTCAACTCATCGAAATGCTAACTAATCATTATTAGTTATAACAAAACTTCACAGCGTAAAAATAAATTAAAAAACAAAGTTATACTGTCACATGTAAACTATTTCTACATTTATCTACCTATAAAACACTTCTTATATTGTCTCCTCTGTTGAAATAAAGCATGCACTGTTAAGACCTCACAACTTAATCAAAGTCCTTTTAAAACATTTCCATACTGATTGTATTACATGAGTTTGCTTGCAGCTTTATAACCAGCCATTTACAAGGCATTAAAAAAAAAAAAAAAAGAAAAAAAAATTTATTGCTATACTTGCTGAGCACCTCAGAGAAACACATTCCTTTTGTTATGGGCTGAGTGACCACTCGCATGTCAAACAGTATTTGTTTCTGCATTACACAGAACAGAAGATGGTACAAAGCCCAGTCACTATTCTTCAGCAAACTGTGATACAGGACACAGGAAAAGGGGTCTGAAAATTATCTTGTTCAATTATCTTGACCAGCAAGTCCCTGAGAGCTCCCTGAGCCGAGCAGATACGCACTATGGCCAATGCAGACATATGCACAGCACCGGGGCCCTTCAGGGAGAAGTTGCCAGAAAGAGACAGCCCTATTCAAAGAAACTTGTCACCTTTCTCCGACTTGTGCCTTGGCAGTCTTTGTTATTTCTGGTTTACTTATTCTCCTAGTTTTATGCCCAGAAACAGAAGTTAAACACACCCCGTTTGTTCTTTCTCTGTAATTACAGACCAGAAGCTACTTTTAATGCTGAGATGAGGATTACAGAACAGCTGCTAGAGAGAAGAACATTCTGGCCATTAGCTGTGAAGGAAGCTCTTCGGAGAAGTGGTATGTGTGGCCCCACGTCACATGACAGCCAGCTTACTTTGTTTTGTCTTTAAAGCACCAACAATACTGAAGCCTCTGAACTGCGGGTTCTGTAAAGTCAAAACAGCAGCCTGGCTGCCACAGAAGACAAGGTTTATTTGATAGCTATAAAAAAATGCTACTGCAAACAAGTAAGTTTGAAGGACACATTTTGACACAAACTCATAACTTCAAGCTACTGAGTTAAAGCAATTCCTGAAAAAAAGGAACAGCACCCCCACGTTCTACTTAGATTTTGCCATTTATCTTTGTCATTTTTCTAACATAGACAAAATTATTTCACCCTTTACATCTTAATTTTACTAACTCTAAAGAGGTAACACTCTGCAGTAGCAACCTATACCTGATGTACAGGAAATACTATTACAGCATATTTACACTATTTTATGCTTATTAAGCAAAGAAAAACACTTCCAAAGGAAAGATCAAATATATTGCTTGTTCTTCCGCCTGAATACATGGAGTACCCTTGCTGCTTGGCACTGCAAGACAGAGTCTGGATCCTACTTGAGGATCAGGAAGATAGGATGGTGTAAGAAGCAAAAGGCAAACAGCAATAGTTATTTAAAGTGACTTGCAAATGTCTGGACATAACTATGATAATGATTTTTATCATGAGATAAAATTGTTATAAAAATCCCGATTTTTTGAAGACAGCATTTTTTTTTACAGGTGAAAATTATGGTGTTTTTTTAAATAAGAAGAAATCAAACATGAACATCTCTGTTTTCAAAATGTAAAATATAAAATACATTTTCAGCAAACACAAGAAACTGGCTATGTACACCATAATGATCAAAGGAAGAAGCTGCACTTCCTTATTTTAATAGCAGATGATCTAACTGCACAGTGGTTACAAGCTATTTCACACTGTAACATCCGGTCAACTTGGGAAATAATCATCTTGAAACTTCGCAGATGCTAGTTTAATAGCTTATCTCCCTATTTATGCAGTACTCAGTCTTTGAAAGAACAGGTTAGCTCCTCAAAAGGTGCTTTAAACAGACTGCATTTAAGAATTTGAATACTGTCTGTGCTCTAATTAGAGAGGAAAAGAGCGATCTTCGGCTCAGACGCGTCCCAGTTTTCCTCTGAATAACGTTTTCGGTTTAAGTAAAAAGACCTTAAATAAGGTCTGTAACTCCATTTTAATAATCTTTGGAACTGCTCGTGAACACAGACGGTTCTCACACAGAGCATCAAATCCAGCCCAAAAGAACAGCAGCAACAAGTGAGTAGCTCAGACAGCGGCCAACGCATGCTCACTACTAGTGAATACGGATCCTCACGCCTTGGTAAAGCAAAACAGCGCTGAGCCAGACAACTCTTTGTAACGTAAGAGGACAACACTAATTCCACTGGCTATCGTACAGGTAATTACCGCAGGCTGATTTCAGATGATGATAAAACCCCCCTCTGTTTTACACAAAAGAATATTTCTACATATGCAAAGCCTTAAATGACATTTGCAATGCAAAAAGGTCTACAGATGCTTCGTGCAGTTGACCATCACATTTTGTTATCCTAAAACTCCAAGCAAATCCAGGTAGACCGGGTCCTGTTGCAGAAAGATAAAATGTAGCTTCGACGCAGGACTGAGGGAGATTGAGGCAGCTGTCCCTGGGTGAAGTACTTCAGCCTACATTTTACAGCCTTCAGAATGAATCGAAATCATTTTGAGTCATTTTGATAAATCCTATAATGTTATATCAAAGTCAAAGAAGTAACCCAAGAATAACTAACAACTCAATTTAGAGATTTTTTTTGTTTTGGTTGGTTGGGTTTGTTTTGGTTTTTTTTTTTTTTTTTTTTTTGGGGGGGGGGCCTGCTGTTGTGGTTTTGGTGGTTTTTTTTTTAATTCCACAGCAGATATTGTCTTTTTCTTTTTTTTTAATCCAAGAGCAACTGGCAATTACAGAATCACCCACATTAACAGAAGACAATGGTCATCTGTCTCCAGGCTAACACCTAAACTAATTAGCTCTCACCCAGGAGTTGCTCTATCACTTAGCACAAACCATGACAACATAAATATCCACATACACTGGGGAATGAAGTATCTTCCTTGCTTACTCTTAATGCTGTTGACATTGCCTTCATTAAGAAAAAAAATAAGGAGTTTAATGGCTGCCTTGCAAGAGCTTCCAGTGACCCTAATTGCTGTTAGTAATGACTCCTGGAAGCATAAATAACAAGCTATAATGGCCATTAGAAATCAATATTGGTTTATTGTTCTCAGGGTGTTATTCCACATACTCCTCATTTTCTGTTCTACACTTCTGGATAGGAGGAAACTGTCAAAGTGTTGGTGACTTTAGCAAATACTGTTTTTTGTGTCAATCGCTGCAAAGAAGATTATTTTTCTTTTTTAAAGTACTTAGTTCACTATACACACAAACATTCCATGAGTGCACTCTATCACAGGTCTTAACACAAACCTGCAACACATTCCTCTTCCACCTAGAGGGGAGCGTATAAAACCTTCCAGATCAGGACTTCAACATTGGCAAGGTCAGGATACCTAAACAAACAAAACCCCCAACAGGCACACAACCACACCACCCGCTGTTTATTTCTGACCTAGACACAATCATTAAACCCTCCTAGACACGTTCACTTTCTCTCCTGGAATCCTGCTTCCTTAACAACTGTATTAAAAAAAAATTAAACCACCACATTATTCTTATTTACCCTCGAAATATATAGTAGCTCTGGAGCTTCTTTGTGGTACTTTTCCTATTTAGACACAGACAAATTCCTATCTCGCTTTTTTTTTTTAATATTAAAAAAAAAACAAAACAACACAACCTGGATGTCCTTCAATAAAAAAAAGACCCCCACATCATGAATCTTAGCACAAACCAGTACAGTCATTAACACAAGTACTGTTAAATCATATTACACACGATGAAGAACTTTGCATCTTGCAGCACAGGACATTTTATTTCCTACAGTAAATCTCAACCACCTCAAAATCAAACCTACAGTTTTCAGATGCATTCGCGTGGATTTCTCCCACCTTGTATTTGCCCAGCACTTTGCACAACATGGTCCTGGGCCACAACCAAGGCAAGCGACAGTAGATATATAACATATATGACAGGAGCACAGCAGACTTTTATGCTGGACCAGTTTCAAAGTTTACACCACACATTTACTTTCCATGTCCAGAAAACTTTTTGAATGTGTCTTTGCCGGCTTTCAGCACTTCTGCTGACCACCTCCTTACTGGCCATAAAAGAAACCTCATGTTCAATGGACTTTAGCATGGTCCTGGACAGCTGGTGACGATATACCCCTGCTCTATGATACACTTTACCTACCACCGGCAAACATAAGATCCAAGCAGTAACGCTGCACTCTGTGGATTAAAGCATTTTAATCCCTTCATTAACACAGCGCACTCACGTGTTACAGAAATCCCGTAACACGTCCTGCCGAGGAGAGACCTATCTATTCAGCACTCAGAAAGACACAAACTACAGGTATTTAAAGTTTTCCCCTGATAGTTAATCACTTCGTCGAACAATTTTAAGCGTTATATCACAAAAGAAGTACTCAGTGCTTCGCGGAGTGGGCCCGTTGGGAGGGGAGTCTGCGGGTGGCCGTTGGGACCCGTTCGGCTGCTCAGATACCCGCGGACCCCCCGACGGCCCACTCCAGGACAGCGAACACCGAATATCAAGCCTCACCCTCCCCGGGACCCCTTCCCCCGCCACCTCTCACCTGCAGCCCACGGAACAGCAGCGGCACCGGCGGGGCAGCGGCTGAGGGCCGGGGCCAGTCGCTCCGCCTAATCCCGCCTCCTCTTGAGGTGTCTCTGGGGCCCGCAGAGCCTCCCCAGCGCGGTGAGGGCGGGACGCGCGCGCTGCGGCAGCGCCCCTCCTGCCCCCTGGCGGGTGGCGGGACGGCCGCCGGCCCCCCTCAGGGGCGGCCATGAGGGACGGGGGTCTCCGACGCGCACACAAGCGGCTGGTATCGCCTCAGCCTCGCCTCTGACGATGGATTTTTGGCAGCAACACATGAAGGGGAACCCCTCTGTTGTGCTCCCCCTGGAGAGCCCCCAGGCAGGGTCTACAGCACCCCGTCCCTCACAGGTTGCAAGGGTGTCCGCGTCCCCCCATGCAGTTCACACGAGTAACTAACAATCGGCATCCAAGCTGTAAAGCTGAGGAAACAATCTTCTTACTGAAAACTTAGGAATAAGTTTAAGAAATAAAAGGTTGATTAAGAGATACAAAGGTTTATAGCCAGCTGTCAAAAACCCGGCCACTGTTGTGGTGCTTTTGGCATGGCTCCGAGCTTACCTCAGGCAAGCTACACCCGCTGAGGAGGGACCTGACCCTCACAGGCCAGCTAATGGCACCAGCTTCCCATCCCCCCGTTTACTTAGTTCTTTTTCACCCTCTCAGTGTGTTTTAGGTGAGTCTCCAAGATGTGGCAATGATTCCTCAGTGTATTGAGCCTTGAACATCTGGCCACTAATGCAGACCAAGCCCAGTTCCACCACGCTTAAGTCCTACACAAACCTCACTGTAGGCAGTAGAAACACTGGTTTCTGTGGCGTTTTGGATCAAGTTTATCTGGGGGGTGTTAGTCACCAGTGACCACACACAGCCCGTGGCAGGCAGGTGTGTGCTGGCTACCAGCAGCTACAACCATGTGTTAGTCATCCACGGCCCTACCATGGCTGCAATCATAGGTTAGTAACTAAATACAACCGTTTTTGTTTGTGCACCGCTAGCCAGCTGGTGTTTTCCACACTCTAAGGCAGAGCTATGTGCTTGAATTGATCTTCTTGGGGGGAGCTGCACTTCGGTGCATGCACCACAAGCACGACAGCTTCATTTGACTCTAAGCTCCTGTTTGAATACAGTGGGCAGACAGGAAACATACTGAGACTGCCCAGCCACTAGAATGCTCTTGGGCTGTTAGGAATAGGAATCTCAAAAAAGAATTTCAATCAAGTCTCAGCACTCTGGGACAAATACATAAGGAAAACAGAGAAGAAGCAGTTACATACCTGAGGTACAGGACTGGGCAGCAAGTGATCTGGACTCTGCTCCTCTGTTCCCTGTCCTGCAACACTTTCATGCGCAGTCCTGAGCATGTTACTTAATGTTACCTAGGTCTTGCCATTCCTGTTTTGCACAGTGTATCTGAAAAGAACTAGGAAATTATTGGAACATTCAGATGGAAGCAGTGCATAGGATATTCAGACTATTTCTTAGAGAAGAAGAGAAAAAGGATTGTTCAGTAAAATGATTGTTACAAGAATTCCTTGTCTTCACTGAAAGTTGGATTAGGTAACAAGATTTAATAACTGCAGGAAATGGAAAATGCACTGTTCTACTGAGATCATAAATGGAGTCATTTCAGAACAGATGGACTCCATTTACTACTTCATCAAAGATTTGTGGACCTTCCGAGTACACAGATTGCTTAACATCATTTCTGTATACCCGCAGATATTTGCTATCCCAGAGTAAGATCTAAAATTCCTGCATGATTCAATGCAACTGACATTGTAGGGATTTTTAATGGCAGCAGTTCCAGAACACTCCAAGTGCTCTATGTACCCTGTTGTGCAGATTACTCTTAAACTACTGGTAATTATTGTAACAGTTTTAGGAAAATGGATATAAAAGGAAAAAAGCAAAATATGGAGATTAATATCCATTTAATTGGCACATGCTACGTATAGACTTTCCCTTTTGTTTTTCTGGTGCTAATTTTTGTCTCAACTGCCATGCAGCTGGAGTCAGGGCTGTTTTTCACAACGTAGATGCTACTACCCCTTGCTGGAGAGCTCTGACATTGCTGGAAGCCCTGCTCAGTGCAACTGCCCAAGTGTAAGGTTCTGTTCTGGGTGAGAAGATGTGATGACAATTTGTCATTTTAATAGCTTATCTTTTTGAACCTACAGATTGATTTAAAACCAGTTTCCTTTGTGTATGTGGTAGCTGCAAATGTCTGATTTTGTGAAAATGTAGCTCTTTATCAAACGTCCATCTGAAATTATGTTGTCCAAATTAGAATGCAGCATCCCTAGGGTTTTATCTGCCTTTGTCTTCTATGAGAGTGTTCTTCATAGACAAGCAAGAATTATTATTTTTGAGCTCTTGCTTAGAAAAAAGTCCAGCAATGACACACATATATACAATGATACATACAGATCAAATGTGTAAAACCAGAGTATTAAACACACAAATCTAATCCTCCCAAACATTGAACTGGGTAACTATATCATAAATAATACTAGATTTTTATTTAAAATAAAACGCTACACATTAGCTGATAAAGATCTAATGAAATAAAATATGTACTATTTTCCAATTTTCCATTTAAATTATTTGTAGCTATGGTATTTATACCAAACTTACTTGCAGTGTCATTTACAAACAGAGTTACAGAGCATTACAGAAATCTGTTTTGTACATTTCAGATGTGTGCTTCAAGTACCCGCTACCATGAATCATTATGAAACAGGGAAAACCCACTAATTTTAAAATAAGCAGAAATAGAAAAGCATAGTAATTGTCAAGATTAGTTCTCATGTGGGGGTTACATTTTCCTCTTAATAAGTCATTGTGGGTCAAATCTGCCTTCAGTATATGCATGCTTGTACTATTCACAGTAGTTACAGGGATAACAGTTCCTTCTAAACCATTTTGTTTGCAAAATGGTTGAATAGTCAGCTTTGCAGTGGCTCCCATAAATGAGCCAGCTAGGACCCAGAGGATGGTTGCTGAACAAATAAGTATGTGACAAAAGCAAATCAGAAATATAACCTCAGAAAATATTCTTTTAAATCATTGGGAATAATTTGAAAAATAATATACAGTAGACTGTTTTATGGGTTAGACATAATATAATTCTAAGTGGCATAATAATGTTAAATAGTATTTTTAAAATTAGCTGGTGCACTTTAAAGTATATTCACTCCTTTCAAATATTCCTTTGACATCCTGCAATACTGCAGCAGTTAGCATTTAGGAAAGCATGTTTTACCATGCTGCCTTTTTGCAGTCGCTCATATCCAGAAACAATGACCAGGACAATCTTAACTTTCGTTTTTCTTCACTAGCTTTGTGATTCTGATTGAGAGCCAGGAGTAAATGTTGTCTTTGATGAATGCTACAGTAGAAAGTATTTACAACAACATTTTTTTTTTTTTTGGATGAGATTTAGCATCTATTTACCAGTGTGCATGCGCACTCACATTACTCTCTTTGGCCACTGATCAATTTAGAGAATGAGATAAATAACTTCAGTAAAATATTTGCTATTTCCTGTAAATTTATGAGAACAAAGATCTCTAATAATAGAACAATCCCAAAGTGCTAGGAACTACAGGCTTAGGGAGGATGCAATATGAAATTATTTTGAGCTACCACCCTCATTTACAGGACAATATTAGAATCAATTGCTGAACACCATTAAGTTTATGCTATTAAATGCAGGAGTTTTATACTGCAGCCAGATTAAAGAGAAGGTAGAATTTCACTGCTGTTACAGTTTGCATTTCTAGGCCTTCAGATCAATTGAACAAAGTTTTGGGTATCATTTGCTGCTTTTCTGTAAGTAAAGCAATAAACCCTATACATGTTTCTTTAGGGAAATGAAAAGCCATTCAGGTCTCTTGTCTTATTGTTACTTCTTTAAAAGTTGTCCAAGAGTCTAACTGACTTGGAATGCTGATCATATTTTCTAGCATTCCAGATCTTGTGGAAGCCAGTGGGACTTAATTCCACAACAGTAATTTATCCAAAGAAAATTTCAAGCCCAGTGCAAACTCACAGCATTGTTGAAGTATAGAAATGAGGATAAGTACCAATAGTCCAAAAAAAGTATGTGACTGAGAAGCTAGCAGGCCTTTTTCTAGAGAAAATGAAGGATTTAGGAATTCTAATCCCACTGCATGCAGCTCTGCAGCCAAGGCCAGGAGACTGTGTTTGACTTCTTGGATTAAGAATCGGAAATATATCTCTAGCTGCTCTCCTGCTCGTGCTTAAAATTCTTTCTCCAGAGTGAGAACATGCAGTATGCCTTGAAAAATCAGTGCCTGGCTAATCACTTAGGCCTTCCACCTGTAGTTGGAGGTGCAATTTGGACTGCACTAGGGGCTACTGCAGTCTGTTAGAAACAGATCGGATTTGTTTCCAAGTCATTCTGCATACTCAAGTTGACCTGTATTAAAGCAGAACATTTTCTCCCATAAATGAAATTATTCTCCACAAGGCTGAGTGACAGAAGACATGGTCTTCTGAAGACCTGTGACTTCCTAGAAAGCTGTTAGATGGTCTTCTGAAGGGGTCACTGTTTCTTTTCGTTAATTGGCAAATTGCACAAGGGAAGAAAATAAATGAAACGAAGGCCACTTCCCTGTCAGGTACCATTACACTGCAGGTGGAGTTTGTAACAAAATGGGAGACCTTATTGATTTAAAGAACATGAAAAAGAACAGACTGTGTTATTTTCACAGTAAATGATGAAACTATTTAACTAACTGTTTTCAATTTGCACTTCCAATATCTTTGTGCTAGTAGCCAGGAGGGCATATTGGAAAGAAAAGAAGAATACTTTGGAAAAATCAGTATGAAAAAAATGGACTATGTATATTATTAGTGAAGGACACTCTTATATAAATTGGAATAAAATTTTAGAACAGAAGGTTCTTACAGATTCTGCTAGAAAATATGGATTTACAAAAAAAAAAAAAAAAGAAAAAATAATTCTGTTACAAAGCAATTTTCAAAGTGTACAGACAAACTTTATTTGGTCAAGTCAACGCAGTCCTATTATATTGAAGTCAATGGAGTAAAAATTACTTACATTACCTAAGGATCTAGCCTT